TACGTAGCTAAAAACCTACTCGATACTACGCTTTTACTAGTAACGCAAACTTATTCGTGGTAAATCTCAGCACGGACCTTCAATTCAATCCTGACCCTCTTACCTAAGCCTAACCCCTTGTAAGAAAGCGTATACAGAAACTTGATTGGCTATTTTTCGTTCAAGTTCCTGGTCTCATGTATCTACATTTGCCTAATTTTACTTCCCAAAGAAAAAATATACAAACTAAATAAATGCATTGTTTTTACAATTTTTGTTTCGTTTTCTGTTACTATTTGTTATTGTATTATTTTTTTGCGCATCATAGATAAAATCACGTCTAAAAATAGCCCAGGATGGTCAACAAATACTTGAAAGTTGAAACTTCTATTTGGTTTAAACAACGGAACAAAAATGTGTTTATTTGTGTAGAGCATTCTGCGTTGACTTGCCAATTATTTTCAATGCAGTAAGCAAAATAAACATCAAGGTGCATTGAGGAATTAAGAGGATTAACAAGTTATTTTAAGAAATGGTTTTTTCATGATCTAAACGCGGACGGTCGATTCATTGTAATATGTAAGTAAGTAAGTGGTTGGAATTAATGTAGGCCCCCGATATCCATGTACGCAGTAATTCCGTAGGGGAATCCCCCTAAAGCGAACTATGTCAGCTAGAGGTCATGTACGACAGAGGCGGATCTAGACTAGATATTCCTGCAGTCTCGTTCTGGGGCTGTGAACTTAGGACTTTATATCTTAGAGGCTTCAGTGTGGGTTGTCATTGTGACATATTGTGGGGGGGGGGGTGTTGTTAATCAGGTCTCTCGTAAGGGTTGTCATTGTGATATATTATTATTATAGAGGTTGTCAATCGGGTAATTAACAGAATTTGTAATTGTGATATATTATAGGGGTTGTCATTGTGACATATTGTGTGTGTGTGGGGGGGGGGGGTGTCAATTAGGTATCTTATGGGAGTTGTCATTGTGATATATTATTACTATAGAGGTTGTCAATCAGGTATTTAACAGAAGGTTGTCATTGTGATATATTATAGGGGTTGTCAGCCAGGTATCTCATAGGGGGTTGTCACCCTAAGTATCCTGTGGTTCCAAGTACCGATAACCCAGTCACCTCTGGTCAGTATTTGTCTGTCACATGTAAGTCACCACAACTCACCATTTAATTGATAACTTGGTCACCACTGGTCACTATTTGTCTGTCATGCAAGTCACCACTACTCGCCATTTAATGGATAACTTGGTCACCACTGGTCAAACTTTTAATTAACAACCATGTCATCGCTGATCACCATTTGTTGTATAACTCCGCTTACCCTAGTAACCATGATTTTAGTAAGTCACAATGATTTTAGTATGTCACAATGATTTTAGTATGTCACCATGATTTTAGTATGTTACCATGATTTTAGTATGTTACCATGATTTTAGTATGGCACCATGATTTTAGTATGGCACCATGATTTTAGTATGGCACCATGATTTTAGTATGTTACAATGATTTTAGTATGTCACCATGATTTTAGTATGGCACCATGATTTTAGTGTGTCACCATGATTTTAGTATGTCACCATGATTTTAGTATGTCACCATGATTTTAGTATGGCACCATGATTTTAGAATGGCGCCATGATTTTAGTATGTCACCATGATTTTAGTATGGCACCATGATTTTAGTTTGCCACCATGATTTTAGTATGGCACCATGATTTTAGTATGTTACCATGATTTTAGTTTGTAACCATGATTTTAGTATGGCACAATGATGTCAGTATATCACCATTATGTTGTATGTCACCACGCTGTGAAAATATGCCCATACACCTCTTTGAATAAAAACCCAAGTCTCCGCCTATGAACTCGATCAAGCTTGCCAAGCTAGATCTAGATCTACCAACCAAACATCACCATAGATATGTGGGGGGGGGAGGGGGAGGGGGGGAGTAGATCTGAGACCCGGAAGAAAATTTCCCTGGGTCCTGCTAAATGTATTTATATCCGCCGTTGGCCGGGGTCGTCCATTATACGACTGTCAACAGTACAGTGAGGACGTTCTAGAATGTGAGTTAGTGTGTTTATGCTTGACTGAGGCAGTGGCAGGCTTCACTGATTGTGCGTGGTACTTGTGTTTGTGCTGTGGTCTCATAATTCTTGCTGTGATCGATTAGACTGTTTCGTTAAAATTATAGAACGTTTTTTTTATTTTACTTGATCTTTATAAATGAAATAATTTAATGACAGTATTCAACAACACGTGTTATAGTTATTTAAAAAAATTGTAATTGATGGTGTGTTCGTGGATTTAAAAAATAAATAATTACATAGTAATTATAATTTTTCAGTTTTTAATTGAATTATTTAAAAACTGTTGATGTGTTATGAAATTTATTATACCATGAAATTTTTATAAGGTACTGAAGTAAATAGAAAATGAAGGAGATTGTGTTTAATTTAAAATACGTTTTCCATTGTGTGTATTCAGTGACCATATCACGTTAACATTACATGTGCAAGATTTACATTCATGCTATATCACGACTGTAAATATTTGTGTATCTATCGCCCATTTTTGACAACAGCTATAGCTATGGCTATGGAAGTAGATATAAATAGATATAGCTTTGGATATGGATAAGAATAAGCAAGCTCAATGAATTAATTTTAATTTTGAAACGTGTAACCGACCCCCTGTATTAACCTAATTCCTGAGTTTAGCGATACGAGATTTACTTGACCTTTCGCCGTCTGTTATAGCACCATTACCTAAGACGAGATATCCCTCGCCTTGTTACGTGTACGGCGCCACAAATGAAACCCAATGGGATTTTATTGTGTCAACACATGTACATGACCTGAGCTCTGTGTGTACACTATGTGTACCCATTGAGGCGGCGTGTGTACACAGTGACTGGCTTGTGACACACTGACACAGATGACGTTTTTCCACATGTGTACATTCGCGTAAGGCCCTACTTACTATTGACTCAATGAGACGTGTTTAGCTGTTTACCTTAGATTTTAGATCTACGTGTCCTTTCAAAACTGTGTAACACCCGATACTATTGCTATGTAACGGTGCTTTGTTGGCCTATACATATATATATATATATATATATATATATATATATGCATATATAGGCCCTATACACACACACATATATATATATATATATATATATATATATATATATATATATATATATATATATATGCATATATAGGCCCTGTACACACACACACACACACATATATATATATATATATATATATATATATATATATATATATATATATATATGCATATATAGGCCCTATACATATATATATATATATATATATATATATATATATATATATATATATATATATGCATATATAGGCCCTATACATATATATATATATATATATATATATATATATATATGTATAGGGCCTATATATGCATATATATATATATATGCTTATATAGGCCCTATACATATATATATATATATATATATAGGCCTATATATATATATATATATATAAATATATATATATATCTATATATATATATATATATATATATATATATATATATATATATATATATATATGCATATATAGGCCCTATACATATATATATATATATACATTTAAAGGCCCTATACATATATACATATATGTATAGTAATATATAAAGTAATAAATATAGTAATATATATAGTAATATATATAGTTATATATATAGTTATATATATATAGTAATATATATATATATATATATATATATATATATATATATATATATATATATATATATATATATATATATATATATATATATATATATACAAAGAGAAAGAAGATAAGTGACGCCATAAACCCCCCCCCCTCCTCGCCCCCACTCCATAGTATAACGCCCCCCTCTTCTCATATTTCTAAGATTGTTTGTCCCGATTCACTGACCCCAGCACCCCCTCCCCTCCCCCCCCCCCCCCCCCCCCCCCCACTCCCTTACCCCGCGAGCGGATTAAACAATGAATACCTGGGGTAGATAATCCAGACTAATCTGGTGACCTACTGAGTTAAGTCTCAATGTCTATCTAGTCCTCAACCCACTCTGTTGACCGGTGATCTTTAAATATCTAAAAATCTTCCCAGATTACACCATCTTTATGTTGGGTTTTCTGTTCACATTGGCACACAAATTTCCTCATGTTAAACTGGTGTTGCAACACCGTTTTCCAAGAATCAGAACGGCCTGCCTATAGACTGTCTTTCGTAATTTAAAATTACCAATTTAGCCTGTTATAGTGAAAAAAAATTATTTATAACAATTTTTTTAAACGGATGGTGTCATGGTGTTGTAAAAAAAAAAACCACCACATTTCAATGTAAATAATCGGAAATTCCATCACTAAAGTTGATGTTGGGTTGTGTGGGGGGGGGGGGGGGAGGTTGACAGTCTACATACCCCAATATTAAAATGTGTACCGCCATAAAATGTAAATAAACATATTGACTCTAGAAACCACGTGGTCCTGATAACGCTTCAAACACCAAAACAATGGCGGACGTGGTGGGGTGGGGGTGGATAGTTGTCGCCTGGAGTTTAATTAAAAGTGATAATGACTGATTGTTTTTTAATGATGTTTTGATTGCAGCTGATAATTTTAAGGAGATAATGAGTTGTTTTCCAATGGCGGGGGTGGGGCTGGTGGGAGGGTGGGGGGGGGGGGGGGGGGGGGTTGAGGAATGGATACGAAACACAGCAACAATTGTGTGCATGTTTTTAATTTACCAAGCGTTTGTGGAGTCGATGTGGTTAGGAGGTAGAGCTTACACCTGTTTACCTGAAAGTCTTGAGTTCGGAACTCGGGCACAAACCCGTGTGTCTCGGTCACGAACGGAAAAAGATTATGGAAGATTATTAATAATTTATAAATTAAATTAAACTTTAAAGAAAATGATGAATATTAGTTATTTAATTTGGTTTTGATTTTCCTTTTTTCAAAGGTTTACAGTAGAAATGGCAGCACTTGAGGATTTTATCCTGATTCTCCACTCTCCGGACGGCGTCCAGTGGGCAAACTTCATAGCCGGTCGTCTGGCAGCGCCCCAATACGGCATCACCAGCATCTCTAAAGACATAATCAACCAGTCCGTGGACGCCTTCCCCGGGGCGGGGCTAGTCGACGACCTGAAGGACGCCGACAATGACTCCAACAACAACGAAGCTGTAGGATGCCGAGACAGCGGTCGATGCAGCACCAACACCATCAGCGAGACCTCCACCGCCCTGGAGTGTCTACGCTGCAGCAAAGCAAACGTCGTCTTGTTGTCTCCGGACATGATGGAGGGCGCGTTCCCGTTGGACGTGAAGCTCTTGAACCCCTCGTCCACGGTGGTTTTGTTCCTAGGCGTGGATGTTGAGGAAGCCAGGAGTTACTTTGGCGAGGAGAGTGATCACGTGTTCAGCTGTGACCTCTGCGTCATGGACGGCTCAGAGCAGACGATATGCGCGGCCATGTTTAAAATCATCGAGGCGTTTGAGAAGAACCCGGATGAGGAAGAAGAGGAAGAGGACATCTACATGGTGCCGCCCCACCCCATACAGGCCAATCGCGTGGAGAAGGTGTTCCCTCAGCTCTTGTCAGAGGTAATCACAAACACCTTTCTTTAGCTCTTGACAGAGGTAATCACAAACACCTTTCTTTAGCTCTTGTCAGGTAATCACAAACACCTTTCTTTAGCTCTTGTCAGAGGTAATCACAAACACCTTTCTTTAGCTCTTGTCAGGTAATCACAAACACCTTTCTTTAGCTCTTGTCAGAGGTAATCACAAACACCTTTCTTTAGCTCTTGTCAGGTAATCACAAACACCTTTCTTTAGCTCTTGTCAGAGGTAATCACAAACACCTTTCTTTAGCTCTTGTCAGGTAATCACAAACACCTTTCTTTAGCTCTTGTCAGAGGTAATCACAAACACCTTTCTTTGGCGCTTGTCAGAGAGTATTGTCAAACACCTTTCTTTAGCTCTACCCCTCATTAAAATCTAGCCTAGCCCTCATTATTAATCCATCACCTTTATTATAGAAATTCAAACAAAGATTGTTGTATAAAAGTTACTGGAATAGTAACTCCTTTTCAAAGCACATTACAAAAAAAGTAATTTTTGTTTGCAAAAAATAACGTAAATTGTTCTTTAACAGAATCTATAAAGGAAATATATACTTTTACAAATGTACCAATATACTTTTGTCGCCAATGTCTTAATGTCTTTAAGTCTTAGATTTGTCTCATATCTTAGATCTAGCCTGTTTCGAGTCACCAAATTGTTGGTCACCAAATTTAGAAACACCGAATCAACGGGCAAAATATATCATTCAAATTTGGTCATCATATGGCCGTTTCATATGATATTCTATACAGGATAGTTGAATATCATTTTGTCTGTTGCCCTTCACAACTCAATTTGACCGTAGTCCATCAAATGCCGGTGTATCTTCAAATCCAGTGCCTGATATTTTTTAACCTGGAATTTTTTTTCTCCCCAGACTGAGCGTGACCTGTATGTCATGCTCGCGCTGCCAGCTGAAGAGGATGTCAAGGTCATTCTGTTGACTGACCAGCCAGTGACCATCCAGCTGTCCTGCGTCAGTGGTCCGCTCTACACCTTCACAGTGCCGGGTGAGTGATTGTGTGGCTGAGTTTCGATCCCCGGACCCCAGGTTAACGCTACATTAGACACAGCCGTCCGAAGCTGCGCGCTGTGCATAGCTGTCTGCTGTCGTTAGCTGTCCGCTTTCTTAAACTGTTCGCTGACCATAACTACCCGCTGTCCGAAGTTGTCCGATGGCCATAGCTGTCTGCTGTCGTTAGCTGTCCGCTTTCTTAAGCTGTTCGCTGACCATAAACTACCCGCTGTCCGAAGCTGTCCGCTGTCTATAGATGTCTGCTGTCATTAGCAGTCCGCTATCTTAAGCTGTTCGCTGACCATAAACTACCCGCTGTCCTTAGCTGTCCATATCTGTTCTCTGTCAATTGCTGTCTAGACGCAACCGCTAAACTTTGGAATTTAACAACATAAACTTTGGCTTACGACCCTTGACCTTAATTAAACGCTACTAATTTAAAACGAGCTCATGTGATATGCCACGATTTTTTCCTGGCATAATTATCTGCCTGCCATTAAAATCTCAGTGACTCACACAATATTACCTTAATGTTATCTCATCCTTCATTTGTTTGTTTGTTTGTTTGTTTGTTTGTTTGTTTGTTTGTTTGTTTGTTATTCATTTTGTGTTATGTTGCTTGTGTGGCATCTATATATTACATAACATTTTTTATCGTGGAGAAATGCAGGGGAAAGCTAGGCTGCCTTCTGCATACATGGGGGGGGGGGGAGGAGAGACATATGACGACTTTAATTAAGGAACCGTTGAACTTGTCAAGTTGAATATCGAGGTTTGTCGAGTGCCTCCATCACCATGCACCGACATCAACCGGAATTTTCCGGCCATGACGAATGGCTCGTGTCACCAGCATCAATCAGCCCAGCGGTCAGGCCCTGACGTCACACACCTGACGTCACGTGTCACTCATGACGTAAGGCCAGAAAAAAATATCGGTCAGTACCGTGACGTCCTTCGACGTTTGACCACTGGTCAGTCACGTTTGGCCATCCATCAAAAAAGGTAACATCATGATACTGACATGATGGGGTAATGACGGGGGATAAGGAAAATATAAATGTAGATAATATGCAGTTATGATGGTAGCAGGGATCTTAATGAGTCGACACATCAAACAATTAACTAGTCATTGACTTCGTCAGCGTACGGTAAAGAAGATGTGACTAGAATGTGTTTAGCTACAAATAATAAGGGACGCTATTCTGTATCATTTGCTGTCCTTGTTTGCCCTTGCTTGCGTGTTACCTATTTCAAACTTAACCCTTGTGGAAGTCGACTTTTGTGAGAATCATGTACTATTTTGGTTCATGTTAGTGACGTCATAAAAAAATGAATTCAAACGATGACGTCACCTGTGTTTGATCAAGCTGAGTGCGTGCTCGACTCATGGGAAGACAACTTGAATTACATTACTCACAGTTGTGGCCCTTTGATTGGTCTTTTATGTTCGTGTTGATGTGGGTTTTAAGCTCATGAGTTGGGTGTTTGATGTATCTGACTTGTCAACATCTGGATGTTTGATGATTTTCGTTAGTCAACACGTCTATGTTATGTATGTTATGTTTATCATTGGTCACCATTTGGTGTTTGATGTATCTGTCTTGTCAATATCTGGATAGACACATCACTGGCATAAAGATAGAGACATCACTGACATAAAGATAGACACAAAACGTACATAAAGATAAACACAACATAAAGATAGACACATCACTGACATAAAAATAGACACATCACGGACATAAAGATTGACACATCACTGACATAAAGATAGAGACATGACTGACATAAAGATAGACACATAGATGGACACTAATTATGAACTGCTTTACGTCATCAAGGTTATTGATGTCACATCATTCTAACATGGAGTTTGAACTTACAGGGATGTGGGGGGGGGGGGGTTAGGTCAAGAAGTGCTTGGCCCACTTAATTAGTACTTGTGATGAACCTCTATTAGAATGCAATTAACCAGTACAGGAATGTAATTAATTATCGGTCGCCATCGCTTGTCTAACCACCCAGGAAGAAGAAGAAGTGTGTTATAATTGATGTGCCTCCCCCCCCCCCTCCATTCCCCCCCCCCCCCTACAGACATATAAATAAACTAACATACCAAGAGAATAAAATTCTTTACCTCCATTTTTTTTTTAAATTTAAACATTGGACTTGGTAGGGGGTATGTGATATTATGTTGGTGACTGATATAGATCAGTATTTCAAGGGGGGGGGGGGTGTATTGAGGCTTGGGTTCCAAAAACATTACCATTCTCATTTAAAGCATGCAGTAATAACAAAAAAAAAGTGTTTTTTTTTAACATATAGACATTTGTAGATGGAAACCCGGGTATCCGCTCTTCTAATAAACATTCCATTGTATTTAGTGGCTTGGTGTTTTCAGCAATGTTTTTTTTTTCATCACCCAAACCACTGATTGTCCACCCATAGCACCGACTGTCCCCGTCCTAAACGCTTGCTCGAGTACCTAACATGAGCTAAGACTTCTCATTCATAGTACAGACCAGTGTTTTATCCTGACTTTTTTCTCCTGGGGGGAGGGGGGGCACTTGAAATTTTCGGGGGGGGGAGGGGAGCAGTATATAAAAGTATTTATTTTCTATATAAATTCCATTTCGTTCGGGGCGGGGGGCAGTAGACTTTCTTCGGGGGGGGGGGGGACCTTTGCCCCCCCTCCCCCCGAAGAGACGATTGGAAGAAACTCTGGTAGACACAACTAAACGCTTTAAATGGACCCCTAAAACCTCTTTTCAACCATTCAACTCCCCCCCCCTTCAACGACATACGATATGCGCCTCACTTCATTAAGATGGTTATTTGGTTATTTCGCCTGACGTGTTTACAGCAGAGGTAGGTAATACGGTCCAACGCTTCCCTGTCTGCGGTCGGTTCACAAATTAAACTTCCTCCTTTGCCGGGCCAAACTTGTTTGTGCGCTCTAGGTCAGGAATATGTGCTGTTAAATTTACATCCTTGGAGAAAATTCTGCTGAGGGGTCGGGGTCTAGGTCGCCATAACCAGTAAATAAACAGATTTTGACCTCGAGTTTACTTACTGTGTCAGCCATTACCGACTTTCATAACATTAATATACCGACTCGTTTTTTTTTCCAATCCACTATTTTTTAAAATTAGTGCTTCTTTAGTGTACAAATATTTTTATTTAGAGAAAAAGTAAAAGGCCGAATTTATAATAATAAACAATAACAAAGCTGTTGACAAAGCATAGTTGTCCATGCTGTCTTGTTTCTAACTTTTCTTTATTTTCGACCTATTCTTTTCCAATTCTTTTTCAATGTAAACATTTTTTTTTTTGTATACTTATTCAAAGAATATGCGTTATCTCAATGCCGAATTTGCATTTAATGATTAGGAATATGCTTTATTTTTTTAGATAGGGGGTCTGTCTTTTGAGTAGCCTATTAAATTACTCAAAAAATTAGACCTAGATGAAGATGTCAGATGTAGATGGGGGTCTATAGTGGAGGATTACTTAACAAATGTAATTTATTTTTCAACGTGTGCTTCTGTTCCAGATGCTTTGAGTGGCGATATTCCTTTCCGAGTTGAGATCCAGGATAACTGTATAGGCAAGGGGGTGGCCCACCTACCCACCAAGCTTGACCACCTAGCCACCATCCTGCACCAGCTCTCTGACCCGTACCTCACGCTGGCCTCTGCCCTGGGGGTGGAGCCTGGTGACGTGGGTAGTGTGGACACTGTGCTGGCCTTCAGACTGCAACAGCTGGAGTCTGCACGGACCTTCAAGGAGATGTTCCCGACAGAACAGGCTATCAGTAGTACAGGTGGGTAGCATTAGGTCACGTGGGTAGCATTAGTACAGGTGGGTAGCAGTAGGACAGGTGGGTAGCATTAGGTCAGGTGGGTAGCATTGGGTCAGGTGGGTAGCAGTAGGACAGGTGGGTAGCATTAGGTCAGGTGGGTAGCATTAGGACAGGTGGGTAGCATTAGGACAGGTGGGTAGCTTTAGTACAGGTGGGTAGCATTAGGTCACATGGGTAGCACTAGGTCAGGTGGGTAGCATTTGTTAGCATTCATACAGGTGGGTAGCACTAGGTCAGGTGGGTAGCATTATGTCAGGTGGGTGATAGCACTTTGACTGGTGAATTGATTTGTGACATTTAGGTAGCATTATCATGACAGGTTTGTGACATTTGGGTATCATTATGACAGGTTTGTAACTAAAGATAGTTTTGTGGTTTCTCTCCACATTGTATCATCATAATGTATTATAATGTACAGATTTCACCATTTCAGAAGAACATTCCAAGACGCTGTACCCCACCCTACTACACTTTGCAGCTGACTACAACTTGAGAACCTTCTGCTCCCAACTCCTGCACTACCCCGACATGTTCTCCGCCGCCACAACACGCAACAAAGACGGGGAACTACCCCGTGACATAGCAGCCAGGAAGGGCTATAAAAGCCTAGAGCAGGACCTGCTTCAGTTTGTTGATGATCAGAAAGGTCAGGGTCATATCTTACCCCACTAATTAAAATCAACAAATGTGTAAGAACCTCCTGTTGATATTATCAACTATTCAGACCCCATCTGAGTTATTAAAATTGTTTTCATTATTGCTGGGTTTTACTAAGTCGAATATTTGGTTAATTAATTACCTTGCTTGATGAAATGTTTGTATTTTGTTGTTTAACTATGCTCTTCTATTTTTCTCATTAAATATTTTTATACTGATCCTGCTTTTTAATTTTAAAAGTATTTTTTAACCGCAATCCTTTTTCTGTTATTATAAAAATTCTGATCTCTTTTTTTATAGTAATAAGTGACAGTGACAACTTGTATGTGCAACCAGAGCCACCAACTCTGCCCCCTAAACCTTGCACGCTAGGCATGGGTTACGTCAATGAAAAGAGGAACAAAACATCATATATTGATATGAGTGCAATGGGAGCTCGATTAAAAACACCACTTTTAGGTTGGTGCTTGAAAATTTTTTTTTTATATTAAAACAGCACTGATCACATTTTTCTTTTCTGTTAGGAACTTTCCCTAAATTTTTCCCTTTTTTAATAAAATTCACAATTTTTTTAATTTAAACTATTTCCTGTATATTTCTATATAGAAAGATTGCGTTTTAGACAGAAATCCAAATCACCTTTGGTTCTAAAACATTATTCCACTACCAGTGAGTTTGCTTCAGGCTGTTGGTTCTTCTTTTTAGTTTTTGTTTTGTTTCCTAAATTTTTCTAAACTTTTCTAAACTGCCTTAGATAACCTAATAACATAAAAAATCCATATGTTAAAATTTAGAAAGAAATGTAAAAATGTATGTAGAATAACTACTGACCAAGCAGAATGAAAAATTTCATTAACTCTAGATTAGAATGTTGTTTAGGAGTTTTTACAAAAGCAACTAAAATAAAATCATCTTATGAATGCCTTAGATGATTTGCTGTTAAGGTTTCAGCAAATAACTTTAATTTATTTACTATTAAATTTAGGCCTATAGCCAAACTATTTTTTCTAATTTTTAAGTTAGGCATAAACTACTGCCATCTGTACATTTTACAAACCTATAAGATGCTATTATTTTCAAATATACTGGAAGGGGTAAAATTGGCTGGATGTGTTAATTTTAATTATTTCTGGTTATTAGGTTAAGTTTTAAAGTATTTCTTGTTTAATGATTAATCTTTAGTTTTTAACTAACTTTTTCAACAATTGTTACTTTTTTCAACATTTTAGTTATTAATTATCAATATTAATTTTTTTTTTATTTTACTTTGCATGTTGACCTACTTTTTTGTTTGTTTAGAAGAATATTTTTTTTAAATTGTCATTTTTTTTTTTTTCTGACACTTTATTAATTTCAACCAAGTTATAGTTTAACTCATGAAGAAATAATAATAAACTGGTTGTTATAACTATTCAATTTTGGCATTTTTGATATATTCTTTAAAAGTCAGACAAAAATTTAAAAAAAAGCATTGTAATAATTGTTTTTATTTGCATATTTGCATTAAAAAATTTCTTTGCTCTGACATTTTTTCTTGATTTTAGTTTCATTTTAATCAATGTAAATATGTTATATTTTCAGCCCCTCAATCACCAATTGCTGACGAAGTGTTTGATATTCCAAGTGACGACTCTGATGACATTTCCAACAACACTTCAGAGGTAAAAACTAAAGACCTTAGACTTTCTATAGACAGTACACCATGTAGTAGTCATACACAGCTGGCTACAACTGTTTGACGACTAACTTAGGGGGACTGCCAAGAAAAATGCCAGAGACCACCACAAGTGGGCAGAGCTTTCTGTGGCAGTCCCCGTATGTTCTGGGCAAAAAGGAAAAAGATGAGATGATAAAAACTGTTTAGCAAACAAACAAAAATTTAATTATTTTCTCCTCAACAGCCAACTGAGAGTTCAGAACCAGAACTTGATGTTTCAAGATCACCAGGTGGAACCTCCAGGAAAGCGCAAAAGGTTTTAGGTATTAGTGCTGCGGAGTTGGCCAAAGAGCAGGAGTCATTGGCCCAGTCGGACAGGTGAGAACAAAAATATGGCGCTACTTTCTACTCCTAAAAGTGAAATATAATTTTTCCTTGAAACTTACTGTAGAGTGATGTCGATTTTAATTCTAACCATACTACTATCAATTACTTTTGATTCATATCACACCAATGTGTTATGAAAGAAATTTTCTAATTGCTACAGAACGCAAACCCTGGCTAAAATCTACTCAGCATCAGCACCAGGGGGACGCCATGCTTACCCCTCTGTGGATGAGAACAGGTGGTCGGTGTCCAGCAATTATGAACCTCCGAATCAGGTAAATATTTCTAACATTCTGTCGAAGAATTTAACTCACGATATAACCCAAATAGATCCTGATGTTTTAACATTGTTTATTCCAGATTTACGGGCTGGAACCAAAACAAAAATCAGGTTCCAAATTAAAAAACATGTTTAGAGGTTTCATAAAGAAGTCCAGTAGCTTTGACAGTGATCATCATCCCGCACACAAGACAGTTAAGGTAAAAAAAAAATTCTGTTTTGGTTTTTTTAGCTTATAGAAAAAAAATTTTAACAGAATAATTTCTCTCTATGGGAGAAATGTTTTTTAATGTAACAGTTAGATATTGTTTTTTTGTTTATAAAAGTATGTTTGTGTATGTGAATATAATCTATTTTTGAAATAGAAATCCCCAAGTACGAGAAGTGATCGAAGTAGCAAAAGTAGTGAAGGAAGCAATACTCGACGTAAGATTCTTATTTGTGCTATTTACAGTGAACTAAATTTTGTATATATTTTAGTGAAATTTTACTTTATTGACAGTAGGTCTATAAGTATTGGTAAGTAGGTCTATAAGTATTGGTAAACATTTAATTTTTTTCTTGACAGCCAAAAAACTTTCAATGCCAGACTGTCAGGAGAGAGACAGTGGAAGTTACAGCGATGAAGAGAAACCTGACTCTAAAAAGAAAAGTAAAGCCAAAGTCTTTCAGGAGCGAGAGCGACCAATGGTAGGACTTTATAAATATTTGATTTAAAAATTTTGTAACTTTACGAATTTAATAAAATAAATTTAATATTCAATATTTTTGCGTAGTTTTTAAATTTTCTGTTTAATCACTTTTTGGTAATAAACAAATTATCTTATGATTTGGCAAATTAAAAAAAAAAACATTTTATTTTAAACTTTTAAACTACCATAATACTTTTTTAAAGTGAACATTTTAATTTAAAACTATTTGTTTAAATTTAATTTTTTAAATCACTTATTAATTACATTTTTTAATTTTACAATTTTTTTTCAGAGCCGTACACTGTCAAAAAGGCAACAGATTGCACTCAATGAGAAAGTTGATAATGCCCCAACTTTACCCAGAACAGTGAGAAAGAGAAGTGGGTTCAAAAGCTTCATTGACGACCAAGTATGAACTGTCCTCTGGTCAGACCAGTCAGCTGATCTGGTGCTATTTTTATATTTTCACTGATCCTGCCAGCCTTACTAGCCTGTCTATGGACAGCCTGGCTCAGGCAGACATTTCAGACAGACATTTATGTCTTACATGGTGCTTTTACATTTGATAAGACATATGTCAGATAAGTTGGTCTTAGATTTGGGTCAAACAAATCTGTCAGAATTTTCGATAGAAATTTCTTTCGCTAAAAATTTCAGTTTGACTTTTTAAGATCACATTTTACAACAAAAAGTTTGATCACATAGTTACCATTTGTATAGAAGGCAAAGTTTTTTGTTGTTGTTGGATACCACAAGCCTAGTTAGATTTTACTAACTTTTAGTCATTTTTACATGCTGTTTGACTAATTACTTGTACAATAAGAACAAGTGTTATAATACTGTTTTTAGTCTGATTATGTAACATATGTATATATACTCAGACATTAAATAACTCGCTGGGATCATAGTGGTATACTTTTTAGTTTTTAGTATTTAGACATTTTTTTTTACTTCCTGATGAGGGGAGATAACTATATGTCATAGAACTAGAAATAAAAAATGTTATATTTTTATTTAATTTACGAGGGGAGATAACAATAATATTGTATGAATCAGTATTGCTTTATTTACTTCTTCAATAAGTGCAATTAGAAAAATGCTGTAACTTTTAGAAATAACTGAACTACAGCTTTTACTGTATTAGACTTCCATATATGTTGTCACTTATTCTCTATGTATTACAATATTTCATTATGTGATGTCAGTCATTGTATTTGATGTCATGATGCCATAATGTCAGTCAGTGTATTTTTATATTGAAATGTCAGTCATTGTCATTTAGTATTATAATATTTATAATTATTGTATTTTCTGCCAGAGCTGGGAGGTGAAAGGTCAGAATGAGTTGTGTGCTCCCTAACACTATAGTCACTATAGCTTGGTCATTGCAAGACTAATCATTTTGTCAGCTTTTTTTTTTTTTTTACACCTTACCATTTGTACACCTAAACATTGTTACTGAAATATGTGGACACCTTACCATTTGTACACATAAACCCTGTTACTGAAATATGTGTACACTTTTCCATTTGTACGCCTGTTACTGAATCACATGTACACTTCAACATGTGAATGAATGCATCTGCCCTCTAAATAAAAATGTGAACGGAACAATCCACCCGCTGTTTTAAATGTTGATATTGTTAACCACTGTGTGTGTATACAATAAAACTCGCTTGCTTTTAATTCTGATATTAATACTATTAATTCAAATAACTTAATAATTCTTTAAAATGTGAGTTAAAATTGTCAAGAAAAATGAATTTTGGAATTGAATGTATGAGAATTTAGGTAATATAAGAGTTGTAGTTTAAAAATTGTAAAAATGTACATATTTCCTATTTATATATAAATATTGTCTGTAAATAATGTTGTACTTCTGATGATGTCAGTTGATGTAAGTGTAGTTTGAGGAAATTGAGATTTCTGACTTATCAAGTCATTTCATTGCTGTATAGTTACCAATTCAATGCAATATTTTTAAAAGTACTTTTAACTTTTTTTAAATTTTTTATATAATGTTGGCAATACCAATAAAAGTTGGAAATTATGTGCAGCTTTGTTTTTTATATGCTACAAACGGTTTTTAGTATATTAAGAAAGAGTGGTTTCTAAAATAATTTGAAGCTTTTTATTTATTTTTTAACAAATTAATTATGTTAATTTTCAACTGAGTTTTTAATTTGGTCAAAATAAGTGATCAAGGGAAATAACCACTTCATTTACAGTTTGACTTCAGCATTTGTAACCCTTGGTAACTTTCGAATTTAAACCTCTTGGGCTAGATATGAGTGGTCTCTCCTGATTGTCCTCAAGATGATGATTTACTCTAAACGTATATGGTAATATTTATTTCACATATATATGTTGTGTTTGTAAGTCTGTATGTTACAAGCTGTTTCCCAGTAAACAAATCATAAAGTCAGTCCTTTCCCATTTGAGGGGTGTTACATTACAATGTGTTAAAGCATCAGCATTTTATTTTATTTATAAACTTTTGCTCAAAAACACCTTAGTAAGAAAGTGGATCCAACATTCAAGTAATCTCATAGGACAAATTTTTGGCAAATTTTAAACTTACTTCAACATTAATAACAACTCAAAGTGATGACTCATTCTCACTGATTTTCAAGTAAAACATTCACAGGCATAGAAGCTTTTAAATATTATATTTAATATACATTTAAAATATAATACAACATACATATGTGATATCCATGTAAATAAAATAAAAACAGAAAACATGTTACATACAAGAAGCGACATCTTCACAATTTATCTTACGACCTCTCTAACCTAGTGTACATAGGCACATATAAATTGTAAATTACACAAGTACTGAATACGTACCACACATAATCTTCATATCATGTGAATGTTGACCAAATGTTGCATGATGTAAAAAAAACTATTCATATTTCTCAGTGGGGTTTTTGTATAACTTTTTTCACTGCTTAAAAATATCAAGGTTTTTGTTTTGTTTTTGGCTTGATAACACGACTACTGTTCTGACCTGATGTTCTGACCTGATGTTCTGACCTGATGTTCTGATTTGATGTTCTGACCTGATGTTCTGATTTGATGTTGTGGCCTGATGTTCTGACCTGATGTTCTGACCTGATGTTCTGACCTGATGTTCTGACCTGATGTTCTGACCTGATGTTCTGATTTGATGTTGTGGCCTGATGTTCTGACCTGATGTTCTGACCTGATGTTCTGACCTGATGTTCTGACCTGATGTTCTGATTTGATGTTGTGGCCTGATGTTCTGACCTGATGTTCTGACCTGATGTTCTGACCTGATGTTCTGACCTGATGTTCTGATTTGATGTTGTGGCCTGATGTTCTGACCTGATGTTCTGACCTGATGTTCTGACCTGATGTTCTGACCTGATGTTCTGATTTGATGTTGTGGCCTGATGTTCTGATTTGATGTTCTGATTTGATGTTCTGATTTGATGTTCTGATTTGATGTTCTGATTTGATGTTCTGATTTGATGTTGTGGCCTGATGTTGTGGCCTGATGTTCTGACCTGATGTTCGGACCTGATGTTCTGACCTGGTGTTCTACTAAATGTTCTCACTACATGTTCTGATCTGATGTTCTGACCTGGTGTTCTACTAAATGTTCTCACTACATGTTCTGATCTGATGTTCTGACCTGGTGTTCTACTAAATGTTCTCACTACATGTTCTGACCTGATGTTCTGACCTGGTGTTCTACTAAATGTTCTCACTACATGTTCTGACCTGATGTTCTGACCTGGTGTTCTACTAAATGTTCTCACTACATGTTCTGACCTGATGTTCTGACCTGGTGTTCTACTAAATGTTCTCACTACATGTTCTGACCTGATGTTCTGACCTGGTGTTCTACTAAATGTTCTCACTACATGTTCTGACCTGATGTTCTGACCAGGTGTTCTACTAAATGTTCTCACTACATGTTCTAACCTGATGTTCTGACCTGGTGTTCTACTAAATGTTCTCACTACATGTTCTGACCTGATGTTCTGACCTGGTGTTCTACTAAATGTTCTCACTACATGTTCTAACCTGATGTTCTGACCTAATGTTCTGACCTGATGTTCTGTCTACATGTTCTGTTTTCAGTTCTGACCATATGTTCTGACCTAATGTTCTGACCAGCTATTCTAACTGTATGTTCTAACTTGATCTAATGATCTTCCCTAATATTCTGACCCCATATAGAAAATGTATGTGCTTACGTGTATGGGAAGTATTTGACTGACATAGAGGGAGAGAAAAACACTTGTGTCAATGTTTGTGTTGTTTCTTTCCAATACTTCAAGCATCAGTCCGACTTTTAATTGATTCCATCACTAAACCAGAACCATAATATCGGCAAGGCCAACAACTCTGTCAACAGGAAATGTCGCCTTAACACCAAAACATAAACAACACGAAACGTAACTGAAACCAATATACCAAAAATTTTGTTTTCAACTTTCGTTTTCGTTTGCATGGTGGGGTTGGTTTTTTTTTTTTTTTTTTTTCTCACAAAGAATCCCCCTGTCTCACTGCTAATTAACCGAACTGGGTTATTTTTTAAAACTCTAATTTGTTAAATACTTGTGAAGGTCTGAGATATTTTTAAGAAACGCTCGTAAAAGCTAAGGGCTGACCTAGAAAGTTTGAAGAACTCTCACCGAAGACCAGCTACTTCAGGTAAGAACTTAACGCTCGGGGCAATGTTTTCACCGTCTTAGACATCCGGTCTTTGAAAAATTGTGCTCAGACAATTATCTAATGAGGCGTGCTTTCGTGGGAGAGGAGGAAGAACCCCGGGAGAATTATGTGTGTTTGTTCGTCCGTTTGTCTATCTGTCGTTGTATTTTCATCCGTCCTTCTGTCCATCTGTCTCTGTCTGTTCGTTCGTCCTTCTGTCTGTTTATATGCCCGTTCTTCTGTCTCTTTATATGTCAGTCCTTTTGTCTGTTTATATGTCCCTCAGTCCATTTCTTTATCTGTCTATCTATTGGTCAGTCTGTCTATTTGACTATTCTTGTCTACCTGCCTATCTGTTCGTCTATCCTTCTATCTATTTATGTGTCCGTCAGTCCATTTGTTTATCTTTGTATCTGTTGATCTTTCTGTTTGTTGTCAATTGGCCTATTCACACGTCTATCTTACTGTTTACCTGTCTGTCGATATATATATTTATCTCTCCGTGCGTCCGTTTTTTTCCTGTTTAGCTATCTGTCAGTCCGTAAGTCTATTTATCTATCTTCAGATTGTCTAATCTGTTTATCATTCTGTCTGTCTATTTGTTTATCTGTCGTTTTTCTGTTTATCTTTTATTTTGTTTAGCCGCCTGTTTATTTATATGTCAATTTATCTGTCAATATGTATATATGTCCATTAGTTTGTCTGTAAGAAATTTTGCTAATATCTTTTTATTTGCGCATTGAGTAGATTAAATTACAACAAAAATAATGTAAGTTATGTTGGGACAGTGATATTTATCAATTAGTTTTTTATCAATCGGTTTTAAAGGAGCATGTCTTCAACTAACATTTCGAAGATGAATTTAGCTTGAAACACATTTCAATATGTAACGCTCGTTTAGTCTTCTATAGTCCATATGTATGGTATTATCTATGTTGAATCCACTTGAGCATACATTGATCTAAAACATATGTGCTGAATCACATCATTAAAACATCCATGATGACAGTCAAAAACATCAATCAAATGAATCACATAAAACATCAGTCAGTCATACATGATGATAGTCGAAAACATCAATCATATGAATCACATAAAACATCAGATTCAGTCAAACATGATGATAGTTGAAAACATCACTCATATGAATTACCTAAAACATCAAGTTCAACAAACAAGCATTTGATTTCATGTACAATTTGGATTCCGCCTAGTTACAAATCGGTGTTATGTTGCAGAAAAATGTGTTTCCGCCATCATGTCGATAGAATGTTCTGGCCACTTAGATCACCAAGTGTGGAACTACTTCCGGGACATGGCAGGCAGGCCGTACACAGACCTCATCATCATGTATGAACTCCTGTAATAAAAAGTTGGACCTGTTTGTTAGCGAAATAAAACATTTAAATCTATCAAAAAAGGTGGACCTGTTTGTTAGCGAAATAAAACATTTAAATCTATTTAAAAAGGTGGACTTGTTTGTTAGCGAAACAAAATGTAAGTGTTCCAAATAGTTAGACTAGGATGTGGTCAGCGAAACAAAACTTTTCACTGTGGCAAAAAGGAGGACTCGTATGTAGGCGGAACAAAAAGTTGAACTGTTAAAAAACGACGTACCTGTATGTTAGCGAAACAAATTGTATTGAATCAAACTTTAAATGTATTTTAAAAAGTTAGACCTGGGTGTTAGCGAAACAAAATATTTAACAATAAAAAAAATTAGACCCGAAAAATTGCGAAATAAAAGATTTAACTACAAAAAATAAATTGAATTTGGTAGTAAAAAAATATTTCTGCAAAAATAAGTGGACCTGTTAATTGAATTAAAATGTTGGAGCAGTAATTTAGCGAAACAAAAATTTTAACCTTTTAAATTTGAAACTTGACGAGAGAAAAAGGACAACGATAAACAACCATCAACAGACGATCAGAAGCTACCTGTCTGGTCACTTTGCCGTCCGGACTTCCGGGTGTGTCGAGGCTGTCCAGAAAGTAGCGTAACGTCTGCTCTTCCGTCCATTCACCGGACACGAATTTGGGGTGTCGTCTGGCGTTGGCAGCGTACACAACTGAAACCAATCAAATTGTTTGTACTTTAGCTCGCTGTAGATAAGGGGTGTGTAAGACTCGTTTTGATTCGTCGGATAGAGCTATAAAAGAATGGCAATTTTTCGTGCGCATTAAATTAGTTAATTAAGACGTGAACCACTGGACCGGCGTGAAGTCAGGTAAACAATCACGCCCCCCCCCCTTTTTTTTACCTCATGATTGATAAACCTCTTTGATAACTTACGTACCGTTTTACTGCCAGACTGGAAAGGTTTAGAACCATTGTGGTATTGTGGATTGTGAGTTTTAAGCCCCGATTGTGTTGCTTCTCCTTGTGTCGAGTGTGGGTATACAAATGACGATAGTTTGGTGGGATTTTGGTTGAACGTTGTGTCAAGTGTGGGTATACAAATGACGATAGTTTGGTGGGATTTTGGTTGAACGTTGTGTCAAGTGTGGGTATACAATGACGATAGTTTGGTGGGATTTTGGTTGAACGTTGTGTCAAGTGTGGGTATACAAATGACGATAGTTTGGTGGGATTTTGGTTGAACGTTGTGTCAAGTGTGGGTATACAAATGACGATAGTTTGGTGGGATTTTGGTTGAACGTTGTGTCAAGTGTGGGTATACAAATGACGATAGTTTGGTGGGATTTTGGTTGAACGTTGTGTCAAGTGTGGGTATACAAATGACGATAGTTTGGTGGGATTTTGGTTGAACGTTGTGTCAAGTGTGGGTATACAAATGACGATAGTTTGGTGGGATTTTGGTTGAACGTTGTGTCAAGTGTGGGTATACAAATGACGATAGTTTGGTGGGATTTTGGTTGAACGTTGTGTCAAGTGTGGGTATACAAATGACGATAGTTTGGTGGGATTTTGGTTGAACGTTGTGTCAAGTGTGGGTATACAAATGACGATAGTTTGGTGGGATTTTGGTTGAACGTTGTGTCAAGTGTGGGTATACAAATGACGATAGTTTGGTGGGATTTTGGTTGAACGTTGTGTCAAGTGTGGGTATACAAATGACGATAGTTTGGTGGGATTTTGGTTGAACGTTGTGTCAAGTGTGGGTATACAAATGACGATAGTTTGGTGGGATTTTGGTTGAACGTTGTGTCAAGTGTGGGTATACAAATGACGATAGTTTGGTGGGATTTTGGTTGAACGTTGTGTCAAGTGTGGGTATACAAATGACGATAGTTTGGTGGGATTTTGGTTGAACGTTGTGTCAAGTGTGGGTATACAAATGACGATAGTTTGGTGGGATTTTGGTTGAACGTTGTGTCAAGTGTGGGTATACAAATGACGATAGTTTGGTGGGATTTTGGTTGAACGTTGTGTCAAGTGTGGGTATACAAATGACGATAGTTTGGTGGGATTTTGGTTGAACGTTGTGTCAAGTGTGGGTATACAAATGACGATAGTTTGGTGGGATTTTGGTTGAACGTTGTGTCAAGTGTGGGTATACAAATGACGATAGTTTGGTGGGATTTTGGTTGAACGTTGTGTCAAGTGTGGGTATACAAATGACGATAGTTTGGTGGGATTTTGGTTGAACGTTGTGTCAAGTGTGGGTATACAAATGACGATAGTTTGGTGGGATTTTGGTTGAACGTTGTGTCAAGTGTGGGTATACAAATGACGATAGTTTGGTGGGATTTTGGTTGAACGTTGTGTCAAGTGTGGGTATACAAATGACGATAGTTTGGTGGGATTTTGGTTGAACGTTGTGTCAAGTGTGGGTATACAAATGACGATAGTTTGGTGGGATTTTGGTTGAACGTTGTGTCAAGTGTGGGTATACAAATGACGATAGTTTGGTGGGATTTTGGTTGAACGTTGTGTCAAGTGTGGGTATACAAATGACGATAGTTTGGTGGGATTTTGGTTGAACGTTGTGTCAAGTGTGGGTATACAAATGACGATAGTTTGGTGGGATTTTGGTTGAACGTTGTGTCAAGTGTGGGTATACAAATGACGATAGTTTGGTGGGATTTTGGTTGAACGTTGTGTCAAGTGTGGGTATACAAATGACGATAGTTTGGTGGGATTTTGGTTGAACGTTGTGTCAAGTGTGGGTATACAAATGACGATAGTTTGGTGGGATTTTGGTTGAACGTTGTGTCAAGTGTGGGTATACAAATGACGATAGTTTGGTGGGATTTTGGTTGAACGTTGTGTCAAGTGTGGGTATACAAATGACGATAGTTTGGTGGGATTTTGGTTGAACGTTGTGTCAAGTGTGGGTATACAAATGACGATAGTTTAGTGTAGATTTAGGTTGAAGGTTGGTAAGTAGCAAAGTTTGCAAAAGATCGAAAAAAAGAGTAGAAACTACTGGATATAATGTACTGTTTTAGTGTGCTTCATGTTGCTAAAAATAACAAAAGGAACTCATTAACCTACATTTAATTAATTGTCTGATTTCATTTTTGTCCACTTGCCAATTTCGAATGTGTTCCTTTCTCAGAACTTTGTTCATTATCTAGCAGTTTATCAGTAAGAATGTATGTTACCTAACCCCACTCAACTTCCACCAAAGGGCGCCCATGATTTTAAGCAGTTTTTCAACCTCCTAATAAAAAGATATGTCACCACACTCCACTTCAACCAAAAAGGGCGCCCATGATTTCTAGCAGTTTATCAACTTCCTAATGTCACCTAACCCCACTCCACTTCCACCAAAAGTGCGCCCGTACCTCACATGTAGGCACCATGTCGTGACAAGGTGTCAGCAGACGGCTAGGGCGGGGCAGGGTTTTAACCAGCAGACGATATGTCCTGCACGTGACGTAATGAACGAAACAAACAAAACATTTCTAACTCCCACGACAGAAGATTTCAGACAACTTTATTAGTGTCACGGTGACACATTCTCTACTGCTAAACTGCTCACCTGCCAACTTAGCGGTTAACTGTTGAACTGCTAACTTAGCGGTTAACTGTTGAACTGCTAACTTAGCGGTTAACTGTTGAACTGCTAACTTAGCGGTTTATTGTTCAACCGCTAACTTAGCGGTTAACTGTTGAACTGCTAACTTAGCGGTTAACTGCTCACCTGCCAACTTAGCGGTTAACTGTTCAACTGCTAATTTAGCGGTTTACTGTTCAACTGCTAACTTAGCGGTTAACTGTTCAACTGCTAACTTAGCGGTTAAGCTAACAGACATGCAGCAGTAAAAAAAAAAACATCAATGAACTGGAATAAAACAGTGAGTTCAAACAGTCTAACCTGCCTCACAAACAATTGTTGGAATTCTGCCCTCAGACGCGAAAATGCGTTTCGTCAAAAAAAATTGTAAATTTCTTTTCTGTAATTGTAAAACCAGATTTACAAAGATAAATTACTACCTCAACTGTCCTCGTTAGAACCTGTCTCTTCATTGTAGTCTATTTTAAATTTTAAATGTTTACATGTTTTACATATGAAAACTAAAGCGTTAAACCAGTAACCAACTAGATATATTTCTAGCTCCAAATTCTTACTCTTGCTTTACCTGAAGTGCAATCAATTTAGACATGTGATGTCATCGCTTGTCAATCTAGTTAGGCTATTCATCAAGGTGGGGGGGGGGGGGGGGGGGGGGGGGGGGGGGGGGGGGGGGGGGGGGGGGGGGGGGGGGGGGGGGGGGAAACTGAGTTTAAACCCCCGTGGCCTTGCGGTAAAATGGCTTTAGAAGTAAAACTCGGGAGAAAATCAGCACACTATATATATATATATATATATATATATATATATATATATATATATATATATATATATATATATATATATATATATATATATATATATATATATATATATATATATATATATATATATATATATATATATATATATATATATATATATATATACGAATATGATTTGTAAGTAGGCTGAGATCTGTATTGGTCTGACTCACAACATAGTGTAAGCGTAAGATTGCCATTTGATTACAAATGCTGCTCTATGGGTCTGGCTCACAGATTAGTGTAAGCATTAGGTTCCTGTTTACTCCCAACATAGTGTAATCGTTAGATGCCCGCTACCCACACATACTGTAATGTCTCAGTCGACTTCATCTAATCAATAGCCTAAGATGATGGCGGTTAATGAACTGGAATGTTTCAAGAAATGCTCCAGGCCGTCCCCTCTCCAACAACTTGTTAAGTTATTCTACCGTTTCTATCTTGACTTTCAAAAAATGTGAATATGTCTTTTTGTTTTTGTTTTTTTTTTTCGAGAAATTGCAAGAGCTTAAAAAGTTACAAAGCGCATGTTTAATTTTTTATTACCCAATCCTTAGAAAAATTACTACAGCTAATGCGATGCAAATACTTTAACATCAAGATAAGTAATTGAAACATCACTTCCAATTATTGTAACATCGCTTCCAATTATTGTAACATCGCGACAAATTAATGTGGCAAATCACATAGCATTGTGACACCGTGACAAATTATTGTAACATCACTTCCAATGATTGTAACATCACTCCCCATGATTGTAACATCACGACAAACGACACCTTAACGTCTGTTTCCCCACTTCACTGTCTCCTTACATTGAGATTTTAATGACCTTGAGCTGCCGTTTGCAAAAAAAAAAAATTTTAACGTACCAGAGTTTTCACGTATTCTGGCATTATCTTGATAGTACCTGTCGTGTGAGGGGGGGAGGGGCAGAGACGCGCACCGCAGGGGTGGTAACAGACAAAAGGTGAGTAACCCAGTGGGAGTGAGTACTGGCATGCACGTGATAGCCTGGTGACGTCACATAACCTTTTCACGTTTCTGCTCAATAGGCGTACATCAGCGGTAGATGCCCTTTACGTAACTTGTGATTTATTTGATACTTGATCATCATAAGACTAGCGGAACCCGCATTTTTTTTTATAATATACAATACTCGATCACCTTTGTAAGACGGCAAAAATTCAACATTAGAAACATTTACAACAACATACCACCTATGTAAGAAACACATGTATACACAGATATACATAAATATGTGTACAGCATGCATGTTTATAA